AATGCGATTTGTGATATCGGAGCTGAATCCATCTGTCCACTTGCGTGGTGACTGTCCAGTTTGGCGAATGTACATACCAGAGGGACATTGCTGGCATATGATGGCATATATAACATGGACCCACTGTTGCTTTTTACAGATTCAGACTAACACGGCTACCCCCTGATACTTGGCATATTGTGGGGCCATGCGCGTGCCCATAGCGGTGCCACTGGTCTGGAGGTATATATTGTCACCAAATTTGAAATAATTGTGCGTGAGGATAAAGTCACAGAGCTCAGCAATAAGTTGTGCTGTGTCATCATCAGGGATACTGTTCCTGACAGCTTGTATTCCATCTGTGTGTGGGATGTTTGTATAGAGAGCCTCTACATCCATGGTGGCTAGGATGGTGTTTTCTGGGAGGTCACCAATGCATTTATATCATGTATGATGCAATACCAGCTTCAGATTGCATCATTCATTGTTTTGCCTAAAAAGCAAGTACTGTCCAAACAGTCATAGATTTATTCATAGATCCAGTCAAAGATGTATTTTAGTCATTTCTGGTTTAAATTGAGATCCCTTCCCTTTATAACTCACGTATCCTCCGCCATTCCAAAGTCAAGGGTTGTATATACTGACCCAATAGCATATCTTGAAAACTAGAGCCAATCAACAATTTTAATCATTTTTGTTCTCAGTGACCCAGAATTAGTAAAGTTTGACTACATTTATTTCAGAAGCATTTTGGCTGTAGAGCAGTGTTACATGCACACCTCATACTGAGAAAGCTTTGATTATTGTGGGTTCTGGGCCAGATCTTGTGGTCCTATCCCACCTACTTTGGATAGTTCTGGTAGCACAAGACAGACAGCTGACTTAACCAGTTGCCTTAGGACTCCTCTGGAGTGGAGGGACTCCTTGGGTGATATAGGAATCGCATAATGACTCTTGCATCACCACCTCAGCCACTATGGCCACTACACTGGCCTGTCTGAGGGCACTTTCCAGTCAGACCAGCTTAAACACCCCTATGAATCTGCTCTATGTTGTGTCACTAGACCTGTGTCTGGAAGGGAGGGGAATGGAAAGTGGCATAAAGACAGCTTTACATGCCCTCCATTAGCTGCATCAGGCATAGAAGAACTTGTCCAAAAGACCCTCCCTCTGTCTTCAATATTACTTTAGGATTTTTCATTCAGAAAATCTGTAATGCATTTCATAATGCCTGGGACAGGCAGATGTAGATGTACTCTCTTAAGAGTCTTCCTAACGTTAATCAATAAAGTATTTCCCAAATATTGAAGTGTTTGTTTTTCTAAACAGTCCTGATTATCTTCCCAATAAGGATTTCTTTTTTAAAATCTATAAAATTAAAAACTTTTATGATAAACCTGATGATTTTAATTCAAATGTTTAAACAGAAAAAGAATAAACCAAGAGAGCCACCGAAAGTTCCCAAATCAGCTCCATTCTTCATCCCAACAGTTCCTGGCCTCATACCGCGATATGCTGCTGCTAAGCAAGAAAATGATGGACAGCAGGTAAAGAGAAAACTGAATAGAGTTTTGAATATTTTGTATGTTTTTCCCTGCATATCCCAGGCATACTTTAAAAGCCCTGTGAATAAAATTTTGTCGAAACAGTTTTTCAGCGCCAACTGTTTATATAGAATGAATTTATATCCAGATTCCTCAACTGCTTTGTCCTATCCATGGAAAAATATCTTCGTAGGATGTGAAAGTATACATTGTATATTGGTATATGCTCCAAGTGATGTGTATGACCTTTTTCGTTTTGTTTAGTCAAAGGTAGTAAACCTTGGAGTATTGGCACAAAAATCTGATTTCTACGTTCAACTTGAAGAAGCCTTGAGCAGTAATGAGTGTAAGTCAATGTGTGAAATTTAATTCAAGTGTACCGAACTATTAATATTGGGATGAATGTTTGAGTTCTGATGAAGAATTAGTACGTCATGGAAAAGAGGTCTAGCATATATTTGCAAAGACAGCAGCACTAGGCAAACCGTGTTAACAGTTAAAAAATAAATAAAATATAACTACTACATGAGAGAATGAGATTGACTTAAAGATAATATGCTGCGATACCTTGAAACGTACGATGATCTAGCACTGGTCTGCAAGGCAGACAGTAAATGCTTAATGTAATGTCTGCACGTCTAATGCTGGTGATTCTTTAGAACTATCTAAGCAATACCTTTTTATTAACTTTTATTGTGAATGGCCTGCTCACCATATTTCAGACAATTTAAGGCTTGTGATCTCTTCTTGATAATTTAAACATAAGGCTTAAACAGAAATAATTGGTTATAAAAAATTAATCCTTTGGATAACTTAACACTTGGTGCATTTTGAAATTGAAATGCTTTGAAACACCTATAGAGATTTATATAATTGGTGGATTCATTTGTTTGTTTAAATGGTGCCTCTGCAGAGCCCCTTTTAAAATAGGATTTTAGGAGCAACTGTTAATTAAAAAGAGCAGAGCTGGAACGTCAGTAGATTGTCATTGGAGACTTGTTTGCAAGCCAGCTTTGCTAAGATTTTTTCTGCTGCTGCTTAGACCCTTCAAATAAGGTTTCTGAAGTGAGCCAGCTTATTCTGATGTTCTCCTTCGTTTGAGTGTGAATCTCAGATTTAACACTGGGTATAAATGAAATTTGCCGACAACATAGACTGGCAATTTAAAGTAAAGCAGTCCCTGATAGGGTTGCAGAGTGGTTTCCATTGTAACAATTCTTTTTTCCTTTCTCTGGTGTCGGTAGGTACATTTTATATAGCATATTCTATCATTTGGAGACTGACACTTTTTGGTTTAACGTTCCCTGCCATAGTGCTAGTTGGTGATAGAACATGAGATTGATTGATAAAACATAAGATAAAATTAGGTACTTTTTATATCCTATTTTGTATACTGCTATAATCAGCTGTTACAAACTGATATACATTTTCATGCAGTGCATTTAGTATCTCAATACACAGCACTATATTGGATCTTTTCAAAGCTGCTGTATAGATAAGTGTAAAGACTTTTTGAACAATTACAAGTATTCTCTGAATATTAACTCTGTAAATGTGTTGCATATTTGTATGCTTTTTTTGTTTAAGAATATCTCTGGCAATTAGATGCTGCATTTTACCAGCACTATATTAATGTGACTTTTTTACAAATAAAAATTAGCTTTGTGGTTCTTGCCTCGTGTGTAGCTACTATAACCCTCTAGATTGTAAAGTGTTTTGACAAATTTATATTTATTTATTTATTTTATTTTATTGTTTAATTATAATTATCCTATCTCCTAGAACTAGAAGGGACCTTGAAAGGTCATCGAGTCCAGCCCCCTGCCTTCATTAGCAGGACCAAGTACTGATTTTGCCCCAGATCCCTAAGTGGCCCCCTCAAGGATTGAACTCACAACCCTGGGTTTAGCAGGCCAATGGTCAAACCACTGAGCTATCCCTCCCCCCAAGTTGTAGTCTCTTCTCAGTAACTTCAGAAACTCAGACTCTAATAGAATACAAAGAGTATTTAAGATCACTAGTTTATGAACAGTTGCATTAGAAGTTGATCTTGTCATGAGCTTTTACTTCTGAGTTTCAAAAGAAGCATAACTAGAGGTAGCAAAAATCAGGTAGGATTATAGTATTTGGAAATAGTGGGCGAGAAGAGTAATGAAGAGAAAAGAACACTTAAAATTACAAAGTGGCCATTTTTCTGTCACCACACTGGGGGCAATTAATCACTAGCAAAAGTAATAACTGTTGAAAAAGCATTATATAACTTTGATTAAATAAATAATTGCATATTTTACTTAAATAAAGGCTCATCTCAACCAAAGTGCTATTCAACTCATGTGTTTTGGTATATATTGAATTAACAGCTTGAAAGTGGCAGTTTGCACTTTTTCTTATGCCAGGAATTAGTGGTTAATTAATGGTTAATGATAAGCTGGTGGTTAATGGTAAGACTAAGTTGTTAATGATAAGCTGTACAACACTTCGAAGGCACCAAAGTCAGAAGGCATAAAAAATGTTAATGAAGATACTATAGGTAGTCCTTAGGGCAAGCCAAATCCATACTACTGGTGATAAGATTCAGATACTACCTCCTCTCAATATGTGATAGAATAGTAATTGCAGACAGAGATGGCATTCTGAAGAAACCAAAAAGAAAAAAACCCAACAAACTAAGAGACTCATCCAGAATGCCACCAAATAGCTGTTCAAAGATTTTGAAATATTTTTTTTTCGTATTGAGCATTTCTATATCACTTCATTGCAAATGTTTAACTGTTTCTTTTTTAATGCTTTAACACAGATAAATCTCCACTTAATATTCTAAAGGAAATGGGACCATCTAGTATTGAGACAGAGCTAAGAGGCTTGGCTCCAGATGCTGGTGGCTCTGTAGAGGTGATGAAAAGCTTTTTGAGACTGATTGGGACAATGTTGAACACAAAGTGTGACTTTGAGCTGGCCCAGGCATATCTTGCATTGTTTTTAAAGGTAACTGTATATGGTTTTTATACAATTTTTGTTACTGCTGCTGCTTCTTATTATACCATAATGGTAGATGGCTCCGTAAAATAGATAAAATCTGCCCAACAAAAAACAGACCTGCTTTGAAGAATTTATCATCTTTTATGGTGATGGATTCTGGTTTACCAAAATGATTTACTGTATCTATTGACTAATATGATAACCCTAACATGACCGTAGTCTTAACAACTTACATGAAAAAGTAGAGATGGTGGCAAAGACAATACTAGCAGTTTAAAAAAAAATCATTTGAACACGATTCATTGCTTATGATTATTTTGTTTTTTTTCCAATTTGCCGTTCAAATATGACTTGGTGCTTTTCTTAACCAACAGTTACTTAAAATGTAGTTAAATAACTGTTACCTATATTTTTGTGAGGATAAACATTTGATTGCATTTGTTCTTTTCACCCTGGGAGTTGTAGTTTTCAGCTTGCGTCTTAGCCTGCTGATTTTGAGAAACTATGATTTAAGCACCAGTGGGCTAACATTGAATATACTCCAGGAGGTGTGAAGATTACCAAGTTGTCATACTTCTTATCATGGCAACAGGCACTCTTTTAAACAGAAGTGACTTTTTAGTAAAATGGTTCTTAAAGTTATCTAATGATAGAATGTGTAGATTCTGCTGGTTGAGACACTTTTTATTGTACTATAGTGTAGGAAAGGAATTACAGTTACAACTTTTTAAAATGTTCTCTTTAGATTCACACACCTGTGAGAGTGTCCATTTAATCGAGGCAGTTTAATAATCTTGCAGAGATTAAAATTTAAGGGAGAGGGAGCTATTTAAAATTAGTTAGGCTAGAGAAATATAAACATACTTTATTTAGAGTCGGGGGGGATTTGTATTTCTGTGATACTTGAATACTAATATATTATAGAATTTAGGCAGAACAGAAATTCTAAGTTCAGTGTGACTGATAAATTTAACTGTATAAAGAAAAGTGAACAGCTGGCCCAGTGGTACTGTTGCTAGGTGTGTTGATTGTATATTGATTACATTACTGATTTAGTTTCTCCAGTTAGCACTTTGAAATTTGGTAGGTTTGGTAGGCAAGATCAGGCCCCATATTAGCAGAATTACTGTTCAGTTGGGAGCCCCAATGTGTATAGTTGCAACACTCAGACTTAGGAAATCACACTGTATTTATAATAGTTAGCAAAGTCACAAACACTGTAACCCAGCATGGCAAAGACAACACAGAATGAGCTAAGCATCCCTATACTTATACCATCTCTTGCAAAACAATCTGAAGTGTTGGTGATCATGGTGAGCAGGAAGATAACTATCATCAGCGGTGGTCATCCTGGCATATCACCCCAGGCATATAGGCTGGGATACAGCTTTTCTAATGTTATACTGACACCACTATCCCTAATGCATATTCAATAGGGATTTCAGCCCCTCTTCCTCATTTGTAATTCCTTGCCCTACTAATACTGTGGTGCCATTCTCCCATAGGTTATTAATTCTTTTACCTAAAGTTTATTACCATGGTAAACGAATTGACATATATGCTCTTCTTGTGGTCAGATATCTGTTGATGTCCCTAAATAAAAATATCCCCAGCTGGTGTAAACTAGAATCTTCAGTAGTTTGCAACATTTTGAGATTATTACAAAACAATAATCAAAGCCTTGTGCCATCTTGTGATGTAAGGTCACTGTTAGTTTACTTATGTATGCTAATTTATTGAGCAACTACTCCTCCTCAGGCTATAAGGCCTTATATTTATGTTAACTGCTTAAGCTACCCTTATAGGGCTAGGCCAATCAGTCTCTTGTGTTTCTGCTATCCATTCCTTACTCCTTTATTGTTTACTTACTATATAACTATGACTACTGCATGGGCTACAGTATAGTAGAGGTGCAGTATGCTACTCTGCATTGGGATTAAAGTTTGTTTCTGAGTTCTGTCCCTTGCTCCAGGTCAGCATGTGCTAACTGTGTGAAGTCTTTATGCTCCGCCCCTAGATAACAGGAGCGTGCCTGGCATCATTCTTCTTGCATTAGTCAGTAAAGGGTCATTTGAATAAGCAATGCTGATTACCTTCAGAATGCTGCATCCAGCCTGTCTGTGCCAGAGGGAGACTGGCTCTGATGCAGGATGTTGAGGAAGAGCAGAATTACTCCCTGGGAAAAAGATGGGAGTGTGCAATGAGCATATCTTTTCATTCATATATCTGGTTTGGCATTGTGTCTGAGAAAATTTGCTGCCTTCTCCTAGCTAATACATATATAGTAGTAGTAGAATAACTGATGGTAAAAGGGGCCTGACAAAATAAATTCAATGTAATGCTGTCTTTATTAAAAGAAAATAACATTACTTGCTTTATCACTTAAAGGAAGATGTGGGTTGAATAGAAAAGTTGATCCCTCCCTCCCCCCCCCCCCCCCAAAAAGTGATCATTTGAATTTAAATAATTGACTACTTGTCTTCATTTCAGTTGCACCTTAAAATCCTTTCCTCAGAGCCAGTCTTGCTGGAAGAAATAGCCAAAGTGTCAACCCAACTAGAGGAAACCTGGATCCATTTACAGACTCTCTTCAATCAAAGTCTGTGTGTGTTAAATTATATGAAAAGTGCTTTGTTATAATGTGCCTTTGTTCCTATTTAAGAATACTAATGTTGGATAAAAATCCTCTCAGATTGATGGTACTTTTAACATTGCAGATAAGTTTCTGATTCCAACAATACAGCTTTTGTATGTCTTTGTTAAATAATACAGAATTAAATATTTAACTTTTATTTAGCTCATTTAAATTCATTGTCAAAATTTGAACTTACAAAATTTTAAAATGTAAAGTGCCCCACTAAATGACTACTGGAGGCAATGTAAATTATTTTTAAAGATGAATAAACATTAAGGACAAATATAGTGTAGCAAATCTATATTATCGTGACCAAAAACATATAATGGGGCAACAAATTATGAGAGAGAAAGCAATAAACCTGCCAGTCTCTGTGTATAGAAAATACTTTGTGTTTGTTAGACTTATGCTGTAGTTTAAGAAAAGCCATTGCTTTAACAAATGTTAACTGTGAGGTAAAACAGTGATACAGAAGCTGCACATCTCCTTGAAGCCAAATTGTCATTGTCATGACTAAGTGCTTGCTAAATCCAATTTGAAGAAACTAGTTTGTTTTCACACTTTTGTAAATTGTGTTCTTTTTATTCAAATCCTTTTTATTCAAGCAAAGATTGCCAGCTGTAATATCAAACATAGAATGCAAATGATAATTTTTTTTACATGTATCAAGTTTATTATCTTGAAATTTTGTGAGGCTCCATTAGTGATAATGGGGGATAAAAGCATTCAGATTGATGTTCATTGTTAGCAGCACTGAATGTTAACTATGCAAATGAATATTACTCTCAGTAAAAAAAGATATCTTGTTTTTTCTTTCAAAGAGAATCTTGAATTTTAAAAGGGTCTCTTTCAAGTGCTGCTGGTTCAGAATACTTCTAGAAGCCCAAGAATGCTTTGCTGTTGGACAAGTTAGTTCATTCTGTTTCATGCACTACAGATAGAAACATTGTCTCACTGAGTAGCTGGTATGTATATGTAGTTTAGAAAAAATTCTGATTAGAAGGGACTGGTGCCCACTTAGGGCTATGATTTGGTCATGGAGGTCACAGAAATTGTGAATTTGAATACAGTCCATGAAACAGAGTGGTGGTGCGACCTGTGCGTGAGGGTGCAGCACCACTCAGATTTGGCCCATCCATCCCTCTATCTCCATCTGTGGAGGGACAGATGAGCCAAACCAGAAAGGCGTTGTGATCCCATGCACCAGGTTGCAATGCCCGGAGCTGGGACCAGCCCTGCAGGACAGGAGCCACTGCTCTGGGTTACTGTGAGTTCACTCTACAACACCCCTCCAGTCCCCAGTCCCAGGCCTCACCTTTCTGTACCCCCTGGCCTTACCATGAATTTTTTCCTCACATCTCTGCTGTGAAATTTATGCACAATTTCTGTGCCAAAATTCTAATCTTGTGTCTATACCATATGACATCATAAGAATGAAACAGAAGTAAACTGGTTAATTCCCATATATGCATAACTTTTCATTCCACTATATCACGGACCTCAGTTTCATTGTTTTCTTTTTTAAGTAATCTGTTCTAGAGCAACTCATGCTTATTTATCAAAGTGCGCTATACTACCTGATACAAGCTCTGCATTAAATTTTCAGGGTGGGGGAGATGGGGAGAGAAGTGTGTGTGTGTGTGTGTGTGTGTGTGTGTGTAAAAATATATATTGCTATAGCAAGTTTGCAAAAACGAGTTTAAAAAAAAATGTAAATATTTTACAAAATTCAACTGATATTTTTCTCCTCTGTGTTCTTATTATACTGGAGGCGATGACCTGAAATGCTTCCAAATGTCAAAGCATCCCTTCCTTCAGCCAGGAGAGGGTGTAGTGTTCATACTTCAAAAGGTATGACCTCTACAAAATAAATTGGCTGTCAGGGGATATTTGAAGGAATATGGCTGCTCTTATTTGGGATTTTAAAAAAAGAATTGACCTCTGCACTGGTATCTGGGTGAATTTCACTTAAAATGTACATGTGTAACATTAATTGCCAACTTTTACTAAAAACCCATGGTGAACAGAAAAGCTTTTTATGGGCCACAACCAGATTTTGGAATTTCCTGTGTGACAGGTAATGAACTCGGAATGTGTTAAGCAGCACAGGAGCTGAATTCCGTGCACTGCATTTTGTTCTGCCCAACTGTTAGAGAAACATAAAATCTTGCCTGAAAGAGGAACTGATTTTTTTTCAAGTATTCTTTTACATTTCCTATTTATAATTGAAATCTGGCCATATATTCTGATATAGACATGGGGTCTTGGTGTAAGTAATCCTGCAAGGTGTGGAGTACCTCCTGAAATACAATGAATGTCCTCAGCTCACTTTAATGTTATTGGCAAATAGGAGTTCAGCAAGTGGCAAGATTAGCCCCAGTTTTTAAAAAAAGAACAGGAGTACTTGTGGCACCTTAGTTATGCTAGTTCTGTTTTTCATCTTAAAATATGTGTTTGGTTACTTAGAAATGTCTAGAAATAGTTGGTGTGTTATGTCTAGAGATATATAGTATTATACAGCAGGAACTTAAGCTGTACTTCAGAAAAGATTTTTAAGTAGAATTACAATTAAACTCCATAGTTAGGCTTTTGCATACTTAACACAATTCAGTTAAGTCACTCAACTCATATCTAAGCCTAGTAATGTTGCAGCAGTGTACCGTTATATGTCAAATAACAGTAGAGGAAACTTAATCTATGATGATCTAGCAAAAATTTCAGTACTTCAAAGTTAGCTAGAAATGTAAACTAGAAACCAAAAGCCTTTCTTGTTACTCGTCGTGGGGAGACTTAATTGTGGACACATTTGTGGGCTTGGTATAGAAACAGTAGTATGTGCAATCCATTTCTAACTGAATCTGATTTGAAACAATCCTTAAATAGCAATGAAGAAAAGTATGCTTGGCCCAATTGCTCTTCATTGTCTCCTTCCCCTTCCTGATTAGTATTTCAACTCTATGAACTGCTGATCTTCCGTTTGTCTGTCCTTTTTGGAAAGAGACCTTCCATCCTACAACAACCCTGGAAGTGACTTTATTCCTCCTGCACAATCGCTTCCATGATTCCTTTATGTGGGTAGGGCTTCAGACTAGTTGCTATTCCATCTCCCTGGAGAAACAAGTCCTGGTCTGCCTTGGAAGCCATTAAAATGACAGTTGCCAGGGGAAATCCACTTGAAAGAGCTTTGTCTCTAAAAGTTAATGAAAAGAAATAAAAACTGTTTTAAAACTGAAAGACCAGACCAATGGCAGAAAAGGTTTAAAATATTTTCTTGCTGCCAAAAGTACCAGTACATCTAACTAATATTACAATGTGCAACTGAACGTGTCAGTGGAACATCATTAGAACAATGGAAATACAGCTGCTGAACTAGAAGTACAATAGTGAAGCTGTATTTTACTTAGACATACTTAAAAAAAAAAAAAAAGTAGAGGGAGTGGATGATGACTCAAAACAGCAGCAGCAAAAGGATTGGGAGATTTTCACGTCTGTGTTGGTAATCTAAATGACCTGAGCCTGCAGTTGCACCTGCCCAGTTGTCAGGCAGCCAATGAGTGCATCTCAGCTACAGCAGAACGACTTGATTGGCTAAGGTAGTCAGGTGGCTTACTCTTAAACCCAGCAGCTGCAGAGGATTAGTGACTGCTCAATGCACATGCCCATGGATTCTCTGCCTCCCTGTTCCTGTGCTACTCCAGCCTAGACCCTGCCCTGTGTCCAGCCTTGTTCTAGCCTTGCTCCTGTCTTGGAACTAGCCCAGCTTTTGCCTTCTCTGACTTCAGGTAATCCAACTGCTGAGCCTTGGCTGTTCTCTGGCTCTAACTCTCGACACTTGGCCCTGGTATTTGGGACTCTGACTTTTGGCTCCGATCCCTGGTTCTGACTGTGCTTTGCTTTGACCTTGGGCTTTAGCATTTGTATGCTAAATTCACTTAAACTGAAAGTATATTTTACCAAAAAGCCATGAAAGTCAGCCTTTTTCCAATCTGCCTTTTGGATGTGTGGTTTGTTTTTGTTTTTAAGTGCTGCTTACTAAAGCATTTGTTTGAGGCAGTGCTTGCTTGTTTCTACATATGGTGCCTACTTTGATTCATGTAGTTATTAACACAATTTTTCAGGCTGGATGGAAAGAGTGAATACTGTAGTTTAAGGTCTGGTCCTTCTGGAAAAGAATTGATGTGATTGGTCAGGATCTGGTGTACTCTACAGTTCCATAACTGTGGAGTTTACTTCAAAATACACCTGGTTGGAAAATTATACTTCAGAATCTAAGCGCTCATTTGAAAACAAAGTCTCTAGCCTCCTGAGTATGAAGGCAACCTAAAAATGTGAACTAGATGTGATAGTGTTGTCTTCCTAATTCTACTTACAGCCTCTAATGAGTTCAGAGTTGTGAACTGCCCCATTCACTGTATGGAATTTTAACCCTGAAATCTAAGGAAGTCAGTCTAAAAGTCAATACTGTCTTTCATTGTTGATCATTTAGCACAAACATCCAGCTAATATATTTGTCCTAAGCTTCCCCATATCATTGTCAGTTGTGACATCTTTCACAGTGTAACAGCTTCCATCCTGACAATTTCTGTGCTGTAGATTTGAGTAGTCAGTTCACATTTACTTTTTTCAACATGCATAAGGAGACAGCATAAGACATTAATATTAAAACATCAGGCTACTGGCCTGATTATAGTGCATATTTTAATATTCATTAGGAAAAAACGTTTTTTAAGTTGTGCAGCAGCTGCATTAAAATCTTAGTCTCCTGTGCCACAGTACTAGAGAACCCAGAGACTTTGCTCCAGAATTTAGATCCAGTTTGCAAGTTTTAATTAAAGTTATAACGTTGACAGTTCAAATCCGTTTTGCGGACAACATGTGAGAGGTGGTAGCTAATTTTCAACAGCCATTATAATAAAAACAGCCTTTGTATTTATAACCATGACTAATTTATCAAAAAGGAAATTCAGTCTAACTTCATCGTTGACTAACCTGCTGTCGCCTTGTCAGTTTAAAGTTGTTACAAAACCATCCATGGTCGGCACCTTGGCTCTTAAAATGTGGCTTGTATCAAATTACATACATACAGTACATTGTCTGTACAAATGTGCATGTATCAAAGTGGTGGAACAAATGTGCAACAATGAGAAGGCAGGGGTAAACGTATGTTGCCTGCCCGTGGTCCCATTAGGCGTTCTCATCTCTCCCGCCTATTTTAATCTCGTTTCTAAATTGTGTGCAGTATAGACTAAGCTTAAATTCTCTTACTAGTTGTATTTTGGAAACATTGTAACTCTGCGCTGACATTTTCTAAACAATTAAAAAAAATTCTTAGCATTAATATTAAAATACTATTGACATGATGACAAGTAGTTCACAGCCACAGAAACAAAAGGCATGGACAGCCAAAGAAAAATTGGAAGCTTTGGACAGACTGAAATCAGGAATGAGCCAAGCAAAGGTCTCAAAAGAAGTAGGACTGGGGGAATCATCATTAAGAAGGTGGATCAAAGATGAGGAGAAATTACGATCAATGCTAGTTGAACTGGATGAAAGTGAAG